TAAAGCTCAGTACCCACTTTTCCTTCCTTTTCCCCTTTTGGTACCCAAATATTTAATATTAGGACATTTAAAAAAAAAAAAACAGCTATTCAGGAAGCTGGAATTGGAACTAGAGTTCCACTTAAGCCTAGGAATCTGAGACTAGCCTGGTCAACATAATGAGATTTTATGGCAAAAAAGAAAAAAAAGATTAATAGAAAGACTAGGACATTCAAAAACAATCAAATACACAGGGAAAATAAGAAAATTCTCACACATACTCAGGAAAAGCTACAGGTTCAGAAAATAAATAAGACATTGAGTTTATGCCTCAGTCTAACCCTTGGCACAAATACAGCCTTTAACAATAAAAATAACAACAACAAAAGTAAACTCTAAGAAGGGGGAAAAAAATCTTGATTCCCAGAGTTACCACATTATTAGTTTCAAATGACCAGTTCTCAACAAAATCTTGCAAGACATACAAACAGGAAAGTATGGACCACTCAAAGGAAAATATTTAATCAACTGAAACTGTCCATGGAAATGACCTGGTGGCAGATCTACTAGACAAATGGCTTTAAAACAACTGTGTTGGAGATAAACAAACAACAACAACAAAAACAACTATAGGAGCTACTCATAGTAATGCATTCCTATAATCCCAGTGACTCAAAGGTAGAGGCAGGAATATCTCAAGTTGAAGGCCAGCCAGAGCAACTTATCCAAAAGATCAAGACTATTTCTCAAATAAAACTTTAAAAGGACTGGGGATGTAGCTCAGTCACAGAACACCCCTCAGTTCAGTCCCCAATACCACATACACATACTCACACATCGGAAAAAAAAAAAAGCTTCAGGAAGATATAGAGAAAAATCAAGAACAACTCATTAACAAAATATAAATATCAAAAACAAGACAGAACCTAAAAAGAAGAAGCTATAAAGTACAAGAAATGAAAAATTTACTAGTCATCTAGGCAGATTTGAATGCAGAAGAATGCATCAATAAACTTGAAGATAGGGTAATGGAAAGTATTAGATCTGAGGAGCAGAAAGTAAAAAGGTTAAAGAAAAAGGAAACATAAGGAACCCATGAGATACTATCAAGCAGAACAATATATCTATTATGGGTGTCCCAAAAGGAGAAACAAGAGAGAAAGGCAGAAAAAATTTTGAAAAATAATGCCTGAAATCTTCCTAAATTTGCCAAGCATAGTAGTGCTTACCTATAATGGTAACAACTCAGGAGGCTGAGGCAGGAGGATAACAAGTTGGAGAACAAGGCAACTCAGCAAGTCCATATGTCAAAGAGAAATGGGATTGGAAATGTAGCTCAGTGGTAGAATGCCCCAGGGTTAAATCCCTAGTACTACAAAAAATAAATTAAAAAACAAAAACTTCCCAAATTTAATGAAAAACATGACTTTAAACATTCAAGAAGCTAACTGAAGTCTAAGTAAAAGGAATCCAGAAAGACTCATTCGAAGATTTATCACAATCGAACTTTCAGTCCTCAGCATCACATAAAAATAAAATAAAGGTATTATGTCCACCTACAACTAAGAAATATATATCTAAAAAAATAGACAAAGAGAAAAATATGTATATAGGAAATAAAAATATGTACATAGGAAAGTTAGGTTAGATTCACTTCCATTGTTCTTCCCTTATCCTGTCCCTCCTCCCTCTCCCTCAATTCCCTTCCTATACTTCACTGAACTGATCTTCTATTTTAATAGAACCCCCTTCCCGCAAAGGTTTTTTGTTTTTTCCTCCCTTTATTTTGGACTAGCTAATGCATATTAGAGAAAATATTTGATCTTTGACTTTCTGGATCTCTATCAAGGTAAATTTTTTCCAAAATATATATTGGGTTTTTTGTTTTGTGGGTTTTTTTTTTTTTTTGGTACTGGGGATTAAACCCTGGAGTACTTAACCACTGAGCCACATCCTCAGCCCTTTTTATTTTTTGAGACAGGATCTAACTAAGTTGCTTAGGCTGGCCTTCAACTTGCAATCCTTCTGCCTCAGCCTCCCAAATTATTGGAATTATAGACATGCACCATGACACCTGGCTCCAAAATACATATTAACATCACAGGGAGGGCTGGGGATATAACTCAGTTGGAAGAGTGCTTGCATCACATGCACAAGACCCTGGATTCAATCCCCAGCACCAAAAAAATAAAAAATAAAAAAATCACAGGGATCATTTTTGTGTGGTTTAAGAGTTAGAGTTGAGATAATTATGCAGATGAGTAATTAAGCTGTTAATTAAGCTTCTAATAGTAAATGATTTTCTGGAGAATAAAGAAAAATGCACACTGTCTAAGCATAGAACAGAATGGGTTAAACTTTTAAAGGATCTTTATAACAATTGTCTATAAGAGGTAGGACTCATTTAATTTTAGCCTATTAGTGTGAAAGGAGATAGAAAGTAATAGGATGTTTTCAAAACAGCAAAGGTGATATTGATAAGGTTTCCTTAAGTTGCTGAGGGTCCCACAAAACTACTGAGGCTTATCTTGTTGGAATACTCCTGCCTTAGCTTCCCCAGAGGTTGAGATTACAGGAATGTGCCACTGTGCCCCACAAAGACACATTGACACATTCCTTTTTTTGGTACCAGAGATAGAACCCAAGGGCGCTTATCCTCTGAGTCACATCCCTAGCCCTTTTTTAAGAGACAGGGTCTCACTGAGTTGCTTAGGCCCTCGCTAAGTTGCTGAGGCTGGGTTTGAACTGGTGAACCTCCTGCCTCAGTCTCCCAAGCAGGAGTATTTTCTTGGATTCTCTTTAGTTTCTTGGTTAGGCAGGCACAGTGACTTATGCCCATAGACTCAGCTACTAGAGACTGAAGCAGGAAGACTGCAAATTCAAGGCTAGCCTTAGCAATTTTACAACACTGTCTCAAAATAAAAAATAAAAAGGGCTGGGGGTATATTTCAGTGGTAAAGTGCCCCTCAGTTCTATTTCTAGTATAATACAACAGACAAAAACAAAAACAAAAATAAAAAAACTCCACAAGTTTTCCAGTTCATCTATTGGCTTTAAGGGTGTGGCATGTTTTAGAGAAAAGAATGTAAGTAGATTTAAGAGGAGATCCTAAATGGCATGTTTGCTTTTCTAAGAATTTAAGAAAATTTGTGGAAAATAAAATGTTTACATTTAAGATAACTTTAATATATTTTTCAACCATTGAAAAGGAATAAGTTGGTAGGTGAAAAATACAGTATGCTCTTTTTAGTGCATAGTACCTACAAACAACATAATGGTGACATTTCTGTTATTGCAGTCTGAGATTACAAATTTTTTATTAGAGCACATTGACACATTGCTATTCTTTTTAAGAAAAATTTCTACTACCTTTCAAAATGTGATTCCAAGGCTGGGAGTATAGCACAGTAGTAGAGTATTTGACTACCATGTACAAGGCCTTGGATTTAATATCTAGCCCCACACAAAAAAAAAAAAAAAAAGTCTTTATAAATTTCTATCAATGAAATCTTATAACAGACCAAACTGCATATAAGAGAAATATAAAAACCTAAGCTGGTCAAATGCTTTGAATCGTATTTATTTATTTTTGGATACCAGGGATTGAACTCAGGGATGCTTGACCACTGAGCCAAATCCCCAGCCCTATTTTGTATTTTATATAGAGACAGGGTCTCACTGAGTTGCTAAGCACCTAACCATTGCTAAGGCTGGCTTTGAATTCAATCCTCCTACCTCAGCCTCCCAAGCCACTGGGATTATAGGATTACAGGCGTGCACCACTGCAACTGGCTAAACCTTAGTTTTTATGTTTGGAGAATGTAAATAACAACATGCTACCTAGATTATGAGGGTAGTTAAAAGCAGAAATTAAAAGAATTTATTTGAAAAGAAAATGTAACTAGAAAATATGAAAGTTTAAGGTTAGTACTCTAATTCTGTTTATTTTTTCTTTTTAGTTATACGTGACTATAGAAAGTTTTACATATTATACTCACATAGAGTATAACTTACTCTAATTAAACCACATTCTTGTGGTTGAATGAGATGATATACTAGTGGTGTATTCACACATGAACATAGGAAAGTCATGTCCAATTCTTTCTACTGTCTTTCCTCTTCCTATCACCGTTCCCTTCCCTTCATTACCCTTTGTCTAATCCAATGAACCTCTATTCTTCCCCCCTGCCCCTTATTGTGTGTTAGCATCCACATATCAGAGAGAACATTTGAACTTTGGATTTTGGGGAATGGCTTATTTTATTTAGCATGACAGTCTCCAGTTCCATATTCTAATTCTAGTTTGATTTATGATGGTTTTAGACTTCTAAGGAGTTGCCTGCATAAATACCTCCTAAACAAGTTTTAAAAGGAATCTGAAACATAAATAAATATCTATTTTAATTCCATGTGTCCCTAACATACTATATTTCTAGGCAAAAAAATGTGTGTGAATTTCAGAAACCACATAAACATTTCATTCTTATGGCAGTTACACAGTCATATTTACATTTCAAAACATTTAAGAAACTCAGCAATTACCTGTGGTTCAAAACCCATGTCAAACATTCTATCTGCTTCATCCAAAACAACGTATGTCACTCTTCGAAGATTTGTAACCCGACCTAAAATGAGAAGAAAAATAAAAACAAAAAGAAAAACTAAAAATCAGTCACAAGTCATTTTATGACTACCAAGAACTTAAAAAACTGTAAAGGGAACTAAAATGCCTGACTTAACCACAGGGGTAGGTTAGGTATCTTTAAACAGTGAAAAGAAATTTTGGTCTACAATGTCTTAATCTAGTGACAAATACTTTCTGACAATGGGTATATGAGGCCCTTTATTTTGTCAAACTCGTCTCTTGCATACCATCATAGGGCCTGAAGAACCTGTAAAATTCAGAAAACAGCCCTCTCCAAAACACATCATAAAACTAAGACTGAGATGAAGCATCGAGCCACATCAGCCATTATTTGACAGCATCACCTAGAAAAAAACATATTAGAGATTACAGCGTATGTGTGGAAAGCAAGTTCCAGTGCTAACTACTTCAGATGTAGAAAATTTCTCTTTATCTTACTTTATCATCTATTTTCCCTATATTTAGAAGCTCCTTAAATGGGCAGGTCAAACCATTAATGAGAAACTATTCAACATCATTAGGTAACTAACATATTACACAAAATCTTTAAATACAAAATGCATTATATAAATACATTTTTCTATTTTTCTATAAAAAGCTACAACTGCAATTTTACTTAAATGAGTTCCTACTATTTAAATAAATGTTCCTGGCTTCTTAACCAGTGAAAGCTAAATACACAGGAATCCTTTTCCAAAGAATTAATAAAAGCACTGCTATCAACTGTTGAATCAATCACCTGGCAAAACACATATAAAATAGTTATTAAAGATAAACCAATAAGGACAGATAAAGGAAAAAGGTAAATTAATCAAGATGAATTTCAGGAGATTTAATCAATGCAGCATTGAGAAAAAACAAGGGATTATTTAATCAGCAGTCATCCCAAAACTTTTCGTAGGCTATACAAGCACAATGACTTATCAAACCATTTCAATGTCACTTTGCCAACTTCATGTAGAATTAGAATTAAGTTCATACAGAAATTCAAGCAGAATGCTATTAGAAACATGCATTACTCGGTTTTTATTACCCTTGTATGTATATATGAATACTGCAATGGAAATCTTTGAAAGCATTTTCATCAAAAAATAAAAATGAGCCAAAATAAGAGCTTCCTAATATTTAAGTATTCCACACTAACATTTGCAGCCCCAATTAGTTTTGCAAGGTTGGGAACAGCATTAAATTACCTACCTTTGATGGTTTAAGTCTCGGAAGCCCAGTTCTATAAATCTTGAAGGGCCTTTCTCCACAGAAGTTAAATAATGTCAACAGTTTAGTAACAGTTTTGATAGGGAATAATTTAACAAAGCAATATGAGCTAAAAACATGCAATATTTACAAAAGGTAAAATTTCTTGAAGCTGCAATATCTTAATTTATCTAGTATTGTAAGATACTGCAAAGAAAAAAGCCTAAATTTTATAATAACAAATAATATATGTATCCTTTTAAAAGTAGAGTGAGGTGAAAAATGGATTCAAAATCTAAATGCTAAGAGATCAGATATAGTTGGTTCTGAAAAGAAATTTTAAATTGAATCACAAAAAAACTACTAATACTTATGATAATAAACTTGTTACAATACAAATTTTAAGATATTACAGCTTTAAGAGGAAACATAGAAACCCTTTATTGGTTTCTTATATTTGCTTAAAAAAATGTATAAAATCCATAACTAAAACAGAACAAGAAAAAAATACCTCTGACTTACCACTGTTAGCCGCTAACATGTCAATCATTCGACCAGGTGTGCAAACAATAATTTCAGCACCTCTTTTCAGCTCAGCAATCTAATTAAAAAGATGAAATTTTTTAGTTGACCATCATTAATGCTTAAACAGATTAAAAAAATCTAGTATCTGGTCCTTGCATGGTTCTACCAAGCAAAACAAGATCCGACTAAAACACTCTAAAATCTCCAACTAAATTCTTTGGAATGCAGGAGCACTACTAATGGAATATTTAAGAGTAGCATGACCACATGCTGCCATAAATTTGAAACCAATGAAACTAAAGAATTTTACCAATTTTAATTTACCACTGTCTCAAAACCATGAAAGGAAGATGAAGAGAGGTATGTAAAACACACAGAAACATATCAATGTTTCTAATTTAGGGTTACCATCAATTAAATTAATTTCATAAGTTATAACCAGTCATTTAAGTAATTAAATAGAATGAAAAATACCAGTGCCCTAAACATCACAATTTGGGGGTAGTAGGTACTGGGAATTGAGCTCAGGGAATTTTACCACTGAATTATACTTCTACCCCCTTTTTAAAAATTTTTACTTTGAGTCAGGGTCTTGCTAAATTGTTGAGGCTGGCCTCAAACCTGTGATACTCCTATCTCAGCTTCCCAGTCACTGGGATTACAGGCAAGGACCACCATACTCAGCACATGATAAAACTTTTGTTTGATTTATATAAATGTAATATGCATGCATGTACCAGTTTATTTTAGAAATGTATTTCTATTTTTAAAATTTGTTTTCTAAATGCATTTCTTACTACAAAATGTGATCAAAAAATTGACAAAGATGAACTCAGTAAATAAACCAAGTGTGGGCTGGGGCTGTAGCTCAATGGCAGAGCATTTGCCTAGTACATGTGAGGCACTGGGTTTGATCCTTAACACCACATTAAATATAAACAAATAAAATAAAGACATTCATCTATAACCACAAAAAATATTTTTTTAAAAAAGAAGCCAAGCTCAAGTATTTAAAATAGCATTAGGATAAGGAAATCAAATATTCCCTGGTTTTAGTATTAAGAAAGAATTTTACTTTAAGTAAGTTCAGAGAATGCCACTTAAATTATATCTTATTATCCTGGTATCTCAATATATATTAGTTCATCAGTCTATGAAGTCTTGAAGAAAAAAAACCCCTGTTTTAACTTTGTATAACCGAACACTTCCAGGACTTATTTGATCATAGAATCCATTATTTTTTCTTCTAATTAAACAAAATATCTGGGGTTGGGCTGTAGCTCAGCGGCAGGGCACTTGCCACGCATGTGTGAGGCACTGGGTTTAATCCTCAGTATCACAAAAAAATAAAACAAAGACATACTGTCCACCTACAACTACAAATAAATAAATAAATAAAAATCTATCGCTATCATTCTTTAGAAGACACTTAGATAAATGCCAAGCCAAAGAGAGTCAAAATGGTTTAAATAATTCTTTCTAAAATCATTTAAGAATGCAGATGAAACTGTGATATTCTGGCATACCATTCATCACCATTTTTCAAGATTTCAACAAGCATTAAAGACAATAAATGCCAATCTGGGAATCAAAAGACCTAGGTCCTAGGGCAAATTCCAGTTCTTATTAATCTAACTGGTCAACTTATTAAATGCTCTCAATACTTTGGTGCATGCCTATAATCCCAATAGCTCAGGAGGCTGAGGTAGGAAGATAGAGAGTTCAAAGCAAGCCTCAACAAAAGCAAGGCTCTAAACAACTCAGTGAGAACCTGTTTCTAGATAAAATACAAAAGAGGGCTGGGACGTGGCCTCAATGGTCGAGCGCCCCTGAGTTTATCCAAACACAAAGATGGAAAATATTCTAACTTCCTTAGGCAGGAGAAGAGGAAGATCATGTTAACATAAAACTACTCCAAATTTTATATTTTTTTTATTTATCTTTTTTTAAAAAAATATTTATTTTTTAGCTGTAGTTGGACACAATACTTTTATTTTATTTATTTATATGTGGTGCTGAGGATCGAACCCAGGGCCCCACATGCGCTAGGTGAGCGCTCTACCGCTGAGCCACAACCCCAGCCCTCAAATTTTAAAAATAGAGCATTAACATAATCATTCTCCTACCACCCCGGCTTGTGTGAGGTGTGTGTCAGCTTGCAGTCACATGCAGTACAGGGATTAAATCCAGGGGCACTTTAGTATATTATTTTTATTTTGAGACAGGGTCTCACTAAATAGCTGAACTGTAATCCTCCTGCCTCAGCCTCCCAAGTAGTTGAGATTATAAGTTTGTGCCACTGCATGTGACTCTCCTAGGTTTACTGAGGTATAATCAACAAAAAATATTATGTGGGCTGGGGATGTGGCTCAAGCGGTAGCGCACTCGCCTGGCGTGCGGCCCGGGTTCGATCCTCAGCACCACATACAAAGATGTTGTGTCTGCCAATAACTAAAAAATAAAAATATTTAAAAAAAAAAATTATGTATTAGAGCTGGGTGGACCTTGCCAGTAATCTCAGCAACATGTAGGGGAAGCAGGAAGATCACAAGTTTGAATCCAATCTTGTCAATTTAGTAAAACAATAAATAATAAAGAGTTAGGGATTAGACAGTGGTAAAGTACTCCTGCGTTTAATCCCTAGGGTAAGTAAGTACATAAATAAGTAAAGCACATGAATAAATATAAAAAGAACTAGAGATATAGCTTGATGGTAAAGGATCCCTGGATTTAGTTCCCAGTAGAAATACACATACAATAATGTATTAAAGGTCTGGGGAGCAGGGCATGGTGATGCACGCCTATAATCCCAGCAATCTGGGAGACTGAGGCAGGAGGAGGATTGGAAGTTCAAGGTCAGCCTCAGCAATTTAGCAAGGCCCGAAGCAATTTAGCAATACCCTGTCTGAAAATAAAGAACAAAAGGGGCTGGAGCTGGGACTCAATGGTTAAATGCCTCTGGGTTCAATCCTTGGTACCAAAAAACAAAAAAGAAAAAGAAAGAAACTACTCTGTACTCTGTAATTTTAAGGACATAATACAAGATTAACTATAGTCACCATATTGTGTATTAGACTTTCAGAACATATTCATTCTGCATAACATAACTCATTCTTTTTTTTAATTCATTTTTCAGTTTTAATTGAACACAATATCTTTATTTTATATATGTGGTGATGAAGATCAAACTCAGTGTCTCAAGCATGCTAGGTGAGCACTCTACCACTGAGCCACAACCCCATAATTCATTCTTACAACTATTTCACACCTAATCCTCCTTAGGATAGAAAAGTCACTATTCAAAACACTAAAGTAAAAGTCACTCTTACTTTACTGAACCATTCAATTTGAGAAATGATGGAACAACTGAATGTTCCTGTTGTAAGTACCTGCTCACTGATTCCTGTTCCTCCATAAACACAGACCACTCTAAGTCCCAAAGTCTTCGAAAACTTCTTACATTCTTTAGTAATTTGTAAAGCCAGTTCTCGAGTTGGAGTCATGATGACAGCTGAAAAGATAAATATGTCAAAAGCCTAAGCACCAAGATTCTTAAGAAGCTAGGTTTTAAAATGTTAAGTTTAACCCCTGAAATAAAAGTCATCTCTCTTAATTAAAAAAAAAAAAATTTACGCAACTTCGAAAATTCTATTTCAAAAGCTTTGTAACAGCAGAGATTGTGGTGAAGGGTAGGCAGATTTTTAAGAACATGCTATAGGAAAATAAATGAGAGTTAAAAATACCACACTCAACCTTCAGGAAAATACTTGGTTAAACAGAATGAAAACAGTTTTCAACTGCAAATCACAGAACAAAGAAAATCAAGTGACTCACTGTGTTGCAGAAGCCATACCGCTGCTTCAGGAAACAACCTTGGTCTGATTGGCTCAGACAGAGAAGAAATAAACAGTACCCTGTATTTCCAAGAAAGGAGCTGAACAATTTTCCAAAACCCTACTAAAATTTGCAGAAGATCTCTCTGCCAAAATGAATCAACATCTGAATCTGAAGACCTAACCCTAAATGAAATGCCGATACTACAGACTTATAAAGCCATAAAAAAAAAATAGGAAAATACATTTCCATATTATTTTCCTTGTTGAGTTTATATATCCACTGATACTGGGCTAGGAACAAACCTCAACATAAATTAAACAGATATATGCATGAGGGGTCTACCTGCCGAGTCAGAGTTAAAAACTGAGCTGTGCCAGGAGAGGCTGTTTTTGTACTTCTGAGATGTCATTCCAGAGCTCTGAAGATTCTCACTCCACCTGCTGGTAAGGGGAAATCAGCCCCAAAGTGCCAAAATGATAAAGGAATTGTACATAAAGGCATCTTTATTGTTATAATTAAGAACAATATAGGATATCAGGTCTTTCCGATTAACTGACAACAAGGATATGTCAAAAATTAATTTAATGAGAAGAACTATACCTATTGGCCCTTCTCCTTCTTCTAATGACCTCTGATCCATAATGTGTCTAAACATGGGCAACAGAAAAGCAATGGTCTTTCCACTTCCTGTTTTGGCAATGCCAATCAAATCTCGACCAGACATTATAGCAGGAATTGCTTGCGTTTGGATTGGTGTGGGCTTTTCATACCCATGCCTTAAAAACAAAGAATAGAAAGAGAAGGTAAGAACTGAGATCTTCTGATGCCCCAGAATCCCATAAAAATAAGTTCTTCCAAAATGTGGCATGTTCATAGAAGAAACTATTATTTGGAAATAAAAAGGAATGTGGTATTCAGAGATTCTACAATATGAACAGATCTTTAAAACACTGTGATTATACTAAGTGAAAATAATCAGAAAGACTACATGTTAGGTGACAGTGTTTATATAAAATGTCCAGTATAACTAAATATATATAGACAAAGTACATTAATGAATGTAGAGGTGATGGAAATAAATGGCTTTCTTTTTGAGATGATGAAAAATGTAATCAAGAGAAATATTTGTTTGAAAGGGCAATTTTGAGTAGTAAGATACTGAAAAATGTAGATAACCACTTACTTTTTGAGAGAATTTAAGATCTTCATGGAAATTCCACACTGGACCCAAGACTTAATTGGTTTGGGGCAACCTTTTCCTTTGACTGTGATACCCTCCATTTCCAATCGAAATACATTCACCTCTGCAAAACAAAGCCCAGATCAAAAATTCCTGATGCTTTCTATTTTAATTAGGCATGGTAGAACTAAGAATATCAGCTCATTTTTTTTTTCAATTTAACAAACAAAATTATGGAAGAGTTATAGAAGGAAGCATTGAAAGTCACTTAAAGCAGTTACTCTTGCAATCAACTAAAGATGACCAGAAATACCCTCATTTCAACAATCTTTCATTTTTTTATCTTAAAAAAAAAGGAGTAATACACCCACTTATTCTACCATGACTTGTCCAATTACCTTTATTCAACCAATAATATCCATATTCACCATGTATCTCCTAAATACCAGAAGGACTAATAGATTTTTTTTTTTTTTTGTACCAGGGATTGAACTCAGGGGCACTCAATCACTGAGCCATATCCCCAGCCCATTTTTGTATTTTATTTAGAAACAGAATCTCACTGAGTTGCTTAGTGCCTAACCCTTTCTGAGGCTGGCTTTGAACTCTCAAACCTCGTGTCTCAGCCTCCTGAGCTGCTGGGATTATAGGTATGCGCCACCACACCAAGCCTAACAGACGTATTTTATTGGCAATCTCACTTTAAAACACTAAAAACAAGAAGCTGAATTAATTTTGCTCATTTAAAAAATATTTCCCTAAAACCCTTTACCTCACAGGTTTGTCCACATTACTCCTGGGCAGAGTGAAGTATATCCTCCTTTGAGCCCACTATAACCAATAAACAAATAAAAGAACTTTACCCTCTTGAGACATTTTTGCTAGTTCTGGAACTTCAACGTAAAAGTTTTTTCTGAATGGCTCATATTCAATTTTTCCATGATCAACTGGTTCCAGAAGTTTTCTCTGTTTGGTCTGATAGCCTGTAAGAGCTGTCTGAAGATCAACTTCTTCCTCCTCTGAAGAATACTTTAGTTTACAACAACAACAACAAAAAAAAAAGTTAAAAAATTCAATATTACTGTCCCCTTATACGAAGCAACAGTTCTAGATTTTAAAAGTCTCCTCTCCTAGAAACTACTCTAGGGCTCTTTTTGCTTTTATTCTAAACAGACTGCTTAACCCATAAGATTTTTATGCTACACCAGAACTTAACACCTAATTTCAAAAATCACTTCAAACTATTCCTGTCAGTTAGAAGTTTTACAACACCTCCTGCAAAGTTTTATAACAAAATTTCTTTTTTCTTTGCCCTTATAGAAAGTTATACTGCAATACAAAATTAAAGTAATTCTCAGTAATGTCTTAATGAAGTTTTGCTATTGTTTTCACTATACTAATGCAAAGAAATTTAATTCATTCTGTCACTTCATTTCTTCTCTCCATATTGTAAACTTGAGGTGAGCTGATGAGGGGGATGAAAAAATGCACACAGCAAGGAATGAAAGACTTTGGAATGTTCTACCACATTTAGATAAATTCTACTACACTACTAAGAATGGCAAGGGTTCCTCATAATAGTCTGCATAGCTGAATAATATGTCTCAATCAATGTTATGCAATAAATGCTTGTAGGATACTATCACGAATAAAGTCAAAATCAATTAAAAATAAAAAATCACCTCCATGGCATCCTGGTCATTTTCCATCAGTTCACCTTTCTTCTTATCAGAATCTACAACTGCCTTTTTGGTTGTCACGACAGTGACAACTTTTGTGACTGTTGGTCCAGACTTCTAAAATAAAAAAAGGAATATAAATTGTTTTGCAAAAGGGAAAAACAAGTTATACACTAAGAACAATGGTGTCATAATTTATAATCAAATTAATTTATTAACAACTTAATAAAATGACAAATAGTAGTGTGCTTTTTCCCTTTAATTTGTATAAAATTTTAAATGTAATACAATTATGTTTTATATGTGTACACATACACACACACACATACACATTCCCCCACCCCTCCCTGCCAGTACTAGGGATGGAACTCAAGGGCACTCTATCACCGAGTTACACCTTCATCCCTTTTCACTTTTTATTCTGAGACAGGGTATCAGTAAGTTGCCCAGGCTGCCCTTACATTTGTAATCCTTCTCAATCAGTGTCCCCAGTAACTAGGATTACAGATTGACACTGCTCTCAAATTTGCAATCCTCCTGCCTCAGCCTGTCAAGCTGTTGGGATTACAGGCATGTGCCTAGTTTAATTATATTACATTGTGAAATATAATAAAAAATTAAAAACCATTTATATATACATGGTTTTTTCCATGTTATATGATATGATGATATAGTTTAAATATACTATCAAATGATATTTTTTACTCATTAGACAAGCCAGGCACTGTTCTGGGAGTTTGGATGAATCAATAGACAGGTCAAGGTCACCACTCTTTGGAGTTTATTTTGAAGGCAGGTGGAAAAAATAGAAAGCACAATAAAAATTATAATATATGAAAAGGTAATAAATGCTATAAAGGACTTGAGATAGTAATATATGAACAAAGATACTAAATAAAGATGGTGGTAATAGAACAGCTTTTGAAAGTACATTTACAGCTAAAATTCATCATTTTAAAAATTTTTAAAATTCATCAGTTTCTCTGGTACTTGGGAAAAGTATTGTTATCTCTGAGATGAAGAAAAACAAAAATATTAACTCAATTAAAATGCAAATCAAGAGTAGGATGAATTATCCAAGTGGGAATATAAATCTTTAAAAAGAAGGAAAAAACTCCATACCTTTTCATTTCCCCCTCCACCTTTTACACTTCTCATATTAAACTTTTTCACTTCTTCTTTCACTTCTTCCATGTACGCATCTAATGGATCTAATTCCTCACCCTCCATTTCATTTCCTTCCTTTTCAGCTTCTGCAGGATCATCCTCATCATCTAAAATATCAGAATGTATTTCTTTGTACATTGTGTTTTAAAATACTCGACACAGATCACACTTTACCTTTCTAACCTTTTCTCCCACTGCTAACACTCACCCCTTTCCAATTACTCCAGCCATATTACAGTTCAATACTTACACTTAGAGGCTTTAATACTTTTAAATCACACATTACTTTTTTTTTTGCAGAGGGTGGAGTGGGGTGGGGTGGGTGTATGTGTTACTGAGAATTAAGCCTAGGGCAAGTGTTCTACTACTGAGCTATATCTTCAGCCCTTTATATTTTGAGATAGAGTGTCACTAATTTGCCCAGGCTGCCCTTGAACTTGCAGTCCTTCTGACACAGTCTCCCAAATAGTTGGGATTACAGGCCTGCACCATCAAGCCGAACCATGTATTACTTTTAAATAACAATGATGAA